CAGTTATTATGTGCTTTTTTATGCAGCAAAACATGACTTAAATATTAAAAGACTTGATAATCATGCAAACCAACAAACCTACGGCAATTGAAATACGGAATGACCGCCTCTTGTCTTGCCGTTCAAGGTCGTTGAAACGAAAGCGCGGGCAGCTTCGGACGGCTCTAACGTTTTTCCTGTGCCATTTATTTGTGAAAACGGAAAATGAACTTCCAAATTTGTTTATAATTAATTTCGAATTTTGGCTGTGCACAAAGGAGATATGAGAAAGTAGCGCTAAAACGTGTCGCGATATCCCTGCAGCGTTGCTGTGAAAGACCCTTCTAAGGAAACCACCCGCTTCGGTCTAAACATACGGGGAGTACGCCACCCTTCGATATATATATATATATATATATCGACAACGTTATCAATAATGTCGTCATTCCACTACAGGATTACTACTCCTTCAAATAGCTCATCGAGACTTCTTCACAGCCTATACATTTCGAGCTTTTTTCTCACTGTATGGATGGGATTTCATACTTTCCCTTGTTTTCGAGAATTTCACCATCAACATTTAAATCGAGATAACACCAGAAGAATTATTTTGCCAAAAATTGCTAGCGTCAGGCAATTTAAGACCTTTTCACTCAAGCATAGATGGGGCGCACTTACTAACTCAGAAAGCATTGTCCACAAAACCACCCTTCTCTTTCCTTGACATAATATTAACTTGTGATGAAGAGGAGTATTTGAATTATAGTACGAATTAGGAATTCCAGAAATAACGCCATTTAATCAAGAACCCGTTCTTTCATTGTTAATAATAAATGAATGAACACTGACTGTGTTAGTGATTAGTTTGCTCACTAAACTTGATGTACTGTTGAAGTCAGTAGTTAACGAGAATTACCCAGTTTTCCTGTCCAAATAAGATAGTCCTAACCCGCCATCATTAAGTGTTTTGGTGGTAAACGACTTCTATTTGTCATAAACCCCCCCCAAAACGCAGCTTTTCAATATTTCTGTGCTGTGCGCAAACAACGGAGATGCACCTGATCACAAGATAAACAGGATTTGATACTCAAATACAATTTAAAAGTTTTTTTGAGTTGTTTATTTGTCCAAGTGAATTAAGAGTTTTGTGGCCCTAAATCTGTTTTCATTTGGATTGTATGGATGTTTGTCATCGAAATACACGTGTCGGCTATCCTGGTAATCATCGACTTTATAGCAACTCACATTCAATTGAGTTTGCTCTCACCTAATTCTGTTAAGCCCTTTTATTAACTTATTAAACGGACGAAGTCACCTGCACTATAATAACTTATTGTATCCTTATTACTGTTGCGAATGTATGTACCTTTATTATTGTTATCCTTGTATGAATATGTATGCTCGGCAAGCCTTACTGCCTACGCATTTATTCACGCTACTAGCTTTACTATTAACCGCTTAATTGACTCGATGATTCATTCATTTCACTATGTATATATATGTCCATGTTATTCATATTCATTACTCGCTCGCTCTTGCCCTTGCTCTCTCTCGCTTGCCTGTTTGCCTTTCGGCACAACTATTTCATGCTTGCTTAACGCATCTGTAATATTGGATATCTGTGTGTGGTCCCTTAATAAACGTAATTAACGCTTCGTATTCGCCTTCTGATTAACATACCGTTGGAGCATTATTTGGTGACGGTTACTGAGACGAACTGTATACGGAGTTTAAGGAATATATCGAACACCGACCACCACAACTTAATAAATGCTAGCGAATAGCGAAAACAAATAAGCGAAATATGAGAATGGATTGTAAATATGTATATTTCATGTACTCATTGGTTTGAACAAAGAATCAAGGAGACGAAACAAAGAGGGAAGTAGATCGAAAAATACAAGCGAGCCAACTCGACATAAATGCAGAAACAAAAGTCCGTTACAGACATAATGAATAGTGTAAGTAATTAACCCACATACGGTCATATAAAAATAGGGTAAATAAGCCAAGGGGAAGATTAAAATGTGGCTTGAGAATATGTTGGTCTGTTAAGAGAGTAGAATAGCATATGTGTACAGCAGTGTATATGCGAACGATAACCAATGGGTCATGTTTTGTGTGTTCACAAATCGAAAAGGTAAAAGGTCACGTTTTTTGAACGGCAATTTTACAAATAATAACGGTGATTGTACATATTGCAAGAATTGATGGAAAATGCAAAACTGCCAAAATTAATTACAAAAAAGACTACTACTACGATACCGACACATCACGTTGTGTCAAAACAATATGACTAAGACCGTGACTAACATTATATATAAAGCAGTCCTCAGCTGGCTAAAAAAAGCAGTAGCAAATCTGCTTAATTTTTTCGTAGTTTACGGTCATTTTTACCAACACCCAAGCAATCACTAATCTAAGTATTCAGCTGATTGATGGAATGGCGTTTGGAAGTATGTGTTCGAACTTGTAGTATGAAATGTATGGTGGCCTAACTCGGAGAACGAACTAACTTGTTGGAAAATTGTCTTCCCCATGAAAATGAACTGAAGTGACCACTTTGGTTTGCTGAATCGAAAAGACTACCAGTATATGCAAAACCCTCCAAAAAACTAAGGGCCTCTTTGTCAGTAGCAGTTGCGAAGTCAACCGAATAGCTATCGTCCTCCAAACTGTGATAAGCGTCAAGGTGAAAATATTGTTCCCCTCTCCTTCAGTGACGCGCCGGTAGGTGCTTTCCTACAACTATTAGAATCAATGTTTGGGGTGACACCTGTTACAAGTTTTAGTAGTGTAACAGTCACAACACAGAAGTACACTTTTGCGACAACCGGAATTTTTAGGCTTTCAAGGAATGACAAAAACCGTCATGATAACAGACTAGATCTAAATCTTGGATAAAAACAAACATCCACAGTTCAAATCACGAGCAAACTATAGTTTGAATAACAACTGAGATATGGAAGGACTAGATGATCATCTCGTACTAGAAAAGCTCGTCACTAACGTTTATTCATGCACCCGGAAATTGAATTCAAACCTCGTGTCGCGCGCGAACACAACCTCTGGATCACCGAGTTGGAATATGACAGTGGTATGTCTAAGAACAATTCATTAACAAACATCAGAAATCAGTAGAAAAGACGATAATCATAAGAGGAGACCCAACTAGGTTACTAAGATTAGTCAGTTTTGTGAGCATTCACCACATTAGTGTTTTAGGTAGCTGGACAATCAGGTTTTAACCTCAATTAGGACGCAATTCTTAATGTAACTGAACATTCCAGTCACAATTATTTTCCGTACACGTACCAAATGTTGTCTACAATTCGAATACCATTCTAGGAAAATGCTACGACAGGAGAGACTCTCTTGTGAATGTATACCACCTCAAGAGGGACAAAGCTTAACGCGATGCTCGACCCAGGTGGTATTGTAACAGTCCCGCGTGACCTTTTAAACATTCATACATTTTTACTTGCATCGTACACACAGCCTACACACGTGAGCTCTGATTGCAAAATTGAAACGGAGATCAGGTGAACCCCAGTGCTCTGCACTCAACCATTCTTGTTCACTAAAAGGAACAATATAGATCTTTTTCACTTTAAAGAACAGAATGTAAGTGCCCGTGTACTCGCAATAAGATTAGTGACTTATATTTATGGTCATTATTATCTTAATAAGCTGATATTACCTAACAACTACCCACCGAATACCAACTATAACTAAAAGGTTATTATGAATTTCACGTTCACAAACTAAAATTTACCCTGAACTTTAGTTGACTTTTCGACCTAAAAATTAGGGTAAGATTTAATAAACAAGCAGAAGTGTTTATTGCCTCAACTCTAACAAATATCGTGACAATCCACTTACATTTGTTGCTTTAATTTAGTTATACGCATAAAAAAGAATTCTGCCCGAAGACATTACGCGAATCTCGATATACTTCGATGTACGTAATATATGGATACTACTGCCTATACGTTTCTGAAACCTTTCGAAAGTTTCTGCCTCTGTCAATTCCAACTGAAGGATTAAGTTTGGGAGCCAGTTCAGAAACTTCACTTTGCAAAACCTAGCTATGAGAAAACTAGCCAGAAAGAACCACTAAAATTTTTTTGCGAAAATTGAAGGGTCTTCCACTAGTTGAGTTATGACTTTTATGGCACTGAGCGAGACTCTTAGCAAACCACAAGCCTAACGACAAAAGCGAGTAAGTGTTGGCACGTGAATTGTACGGACGTGGGTTTCAGTGACTTGAATGAGAGTGGATATAATAGGAACTAAGTGAAAGTGACTGGACGCAATCTAGACAAAAAAGCAATGCAATAATGCTTTCAATGGAAGCGTAAAACGAATTAATCGACCTTGAAACACAGCTTTAGTATCGCTTTGCTGAGAAAATAGAGAAAAGGTGTAAGACCGTTTTGGTATGTTTTTGTGTGTTAACAATTCGTTATCGTTCCTCAACATTAAAAATAATTAGGTATTCATATACAACTGTCTATGTAAGATACTCCGAACTCATTGGCGAGACCAACAGTAACCAATGCTGAGAGAGCAAGCCGGTTGAGGAAGAAATTAGGGAGTGATTATGGTGGTGGACGGAACAAACTTTACGATACACATCATCAAAAGGGAAGCCCCAACTCGGAATTCTCAAAGCAAAGGAACAGAGACAAGACCCAGAAACATATCACCCTGGAAATTGGCAGAAGGTATACAGACTATGAATATTACTTGGGAACAAATTAAAATGAGAGTCCGCAGTGGAGCTTATTAAAGATTACTGATCGGTAGCTTTTGGCCAATGACAGGTGGTAGCACGTCTAAGTGGTCAAGTAACTCTTTATACGTGGAGAGGTATAGAAATATTAATGAAATTGTATTCGGTATAAAAAGTAGTCAAAGAGAAACCAACAACAGGTTGAAGCTATTCGGGTGAAAAAACACACGTGAAATCTTTACATAAAGAGGTTTCGCAGGATTAATTTGAGTGCATAAATCCAAAGTTAGTCCATGATATCTGAAGTGCCCATGCGATGGGTGACGTGATGCATCGTTTTAGGGTAAGAACGCCTGGATGGTAAACCTGCACGTCCTTTTCCCTGTGTACTGACTGGACCCAAGTAGGGGAGGAAGGATGGGGTTTCTTCATAAACTTGAGTCCGAAAGAAAGGCTAGAAATGGAACATGAGAGGATGTGGTGATTCGTTTGATAACAGTATCATGTGGCACGATGACATGAGATAAAACATCCAAGACACAAAAAACGCAAACTATTAATTTGAAATATGTAGAGAATTAATACTAACAGAGAATATTTTATCTTGCTAAAAAAATAATACTCATAGACTATCACCAAATTTTATGTGCGACCTGTTACCTAAACTATAAACAATAGAACCAAAAGATATAAATACCATTCGGGAAGGAAAAAGCATGATGCATAACATATAACACAGTATTTCCAAAGGTACTGTTTACACATTAATGAGTATTTAGCAAGTCTAATATCCTAGGAATCATTTTATGTCGCGTAAGTATTTACACTCTTTGAATAGAAAAATCAAAGGTAAGCGGTAGGGAATGACTCCATGGTATTATGAATCAAACCTGTTTCATAAATATGAAATAACAACCCAGGTGGTGAATGAGAAATGTAAGAATAACAAAACGAACTGTAGACATTTCTACTACTGACTACCTCCACCCAATTAACATCAGGTCAACAAGTTGAAATTTATGATGGCTGATACATACGATATCATTTAAAACTAGGAAAAAATAATCGAAGTAATAATCCTGGTAAACGAGTGTGTTAGAAGATAAATTAGTTTTTAAGCCCAAAAGCACATTTATTAATGTGGAGATCAAAAGATAATTTTTTATGAGTGGAACTACTCGAATAAAATTAGTAGAGACTAGAGAAATCTAACGATGGACATATTCCTGAATATTTCACTTTCGAAATATTACCAGAAGTGAGTGTGAACTACCTGCTTAATACTTAACACAATGTACTGATAATGAATGTCGCAGTTGAGGACACTAGATACAACGTGGAATCACGAGACGAAGGAACAACATATTTTTATAGACTGATTATTAGGTTTGCAAGAGGATACCCCATAAGCTTTCTATTTGGTTAAGCAATCATGCAAGTAAGCTACTGAATACGTTTTAAAGTTATGAGAATAAGTCTTTTTAAAAAAGGGGAATTATAGGATGCAAAACATTTGTACATTTATACCTGATCTAGGAAAAAACAATTTGGTAAGTTGACATTACCACGTAGAATTCCTGTCACTTTTAACAAATCATCCTCCGAAACACCAGTCGTTAAATAAATTACACCAGCGGTAGGATCAACAGCGCGACAAATGGCTAAAAAATATTTGTAATAAATGAGAAAATAACACAAGTCTTGGTTCTTTAAACAGCAGTGAGTATCATTACGGTGCAAAAAGTATTAACGGCAAACCCATAGACAAGTGATTCAGATATTTAAATAATCGCTGTTAGAGTTATTTATAATCTGACAGATGAATCTAAAACATTATCACAATTGAATTAAATGGACTTAGACTGTAGAATTTTTTTGACCTCATTAGTCTACTTTGACTGTAGACGTACTAAAAACACAAAACAATATGGTGAAAAAGGGAGAACATTATTGCACATAATAACTTGTTAGCTAATTTTATCATATACAGGTCGTAATAGTAGGTCTAACCAGTTTGAGATAACTAGATAAAACGAGTTTCGCACTTAAAGAAGACTAACAAAGTATAAAACCTAGACACTTCAGTTTTAAACAGAGTAAATCCAAGTTTAATGTGTTGCTATTTCGAATCATATTAAAATGTTTCAGAACATTTTTAAAGCAAAGCGGTTCTCGTGAGCACAGTATAGACGTTCCACTTATAAGTGAATAGAAAAAGAATTAGAAAAAGTCATGAGACAGGAACAGAAACAATAAGCACGAGCTAAGATATAAAGTCCTAATTGATCTAAATACTTCACACTAGGGTCCACCTGGAAGCACTTTTACTTAAAATCTCTTCTTTCACAATAATTATTACTAAATGCCATAATCAATGTAACATAAGTCCAAGTGATTCGATATTGTGTGAATGAATTCAAGATGTCAGATGGTTGAACGCGGTCGATAGGAAATACTATACCTAGATTTCATGTCAGTTGGGATTCGTCAACAAGATATGGCTGTAATCTTAAGGACTAGACAAACATCACGATGATCAGTGATAAGTGGTCAATTATAAATACTTCAGCCCTACAGGACAGTCGAGACCGGAATAGCTCAGTGGTCAAGTAGTAGATTGTAAAGTTGGGTGAAGCAGATTCAAATTACTTATGGGACATTAGTTCAATCAAGACTATAGACATGCCATGTTGACGAGTGTTAAGTAGCACGAAACCTATGTCAAGTACATCCTGTAGATTACCTCCGACCACCTAATAATATTGAGAATGTAATCACAAATGTGACTTATGATGAAAGAAATAATGTGACTAAATATTCAGAAATGTATTCCACTTTCATAAATCGAATTGACAAAACGTAAGAACAGATTTTTAAAATTATATACCATTGAATTGATATTAGCTGTTAAAACACCGATAAATTTCATGAGGAACTGTAATTAGGATACTTTACATTACTTATCATGAAAACTGACAAAGAATAATTATGTCCATCAGTATCATTTTCATGTTACACCGTAAACTTGATGTATATACAAATTCACAACTCACCTAGACCTACACACTCACAAACTGGATTAGATGATATCCAACGATACATGCAAGTAGAATCTGGTTCGGTTATCTAAAAAATAAGGTAAAATATTGAACCACAAAAGCATGAAATCGAACGAAAATGAACCTGGCTGACGAATTAGATGAAATCAATACCCATCAAATCACCAATAGTCAGTCAAACGCAACGCATAACCTATGTAGTGGATTATATTTGAGATAAATCTTTAGGCTTCGTATATTAATTGCCCTGGTAACCGTTATTAAATAAATCCAAACTATTTACAAAATCAGCATGCAGCAAGAAATGCCGACTTAAGTCTATTATTGAGCGGTACAGGTCACTAAGGCATAAGCACACCAAAAGAAATAGGGCAGAAACACTAATGCAAGCGAGTGAACGAGTGCAGAGGCGAATCAAGCATACATGTTCATACAAGCATGATAATAATACCAAGATATATAAAGTACTACTGTTAGAATAACACTGTCTGTTAGATAAGTTAATTGAAGAAATTTAAAAATTAAACGTTAACAAACTTAAGCGTAGGAGAGGAGCTATTCCTAGCAAGTAGTACACATTTAATTTGCCACACTACTAATAAGATGATATTCAATACGTGTAACCTATAAAATAAAAATGACAGTTGCCTGATATTCACTGCTTTCATTGATAGGACATTACATGTGTGATCAGTTGACCTGTACATCGACTTAAATAAACTGTCTTTAGCTAACAAAACATTTTATTTTTCTACTAATATTATTTTTTTATTAAACTTTGGTAGAATATTAGATGACAATAGATGTGCATATTAAATGATAAGTCTCATAAAATGTAAAGTTATATATACAAATTTTGTTTTCAGTAAATGAAATAGATGTTAATCACATTTTCTCTGTACTTCAAAGGCTTACAACGTTTAGATATTATGGGAATAACGTCATGGTTAGACAACTAGATAGGGATCAAATAATAGGGACTTGACTATTTATAATAAAATGAGATGATATAATTAATTTTTTCAAGAGTTGATTGTTGTTTAGTACCATAATTCTCTTGATTAATCAACAGCAAAAAAAGAGGATTCTCAATTTGAATCTGTCAGATGAGGGATTGTACCGTGTATCTGAGACATGGACGAATATCCAGAAATTCATTCGCAATAAATGTTAAAATGGAAAGTATAATTCAAACAAATATTTTGGTTAATTCCTCTCACTAGGTTTTATAGTTACGAAAAATTAAATCACTAGACCTTATAATGAAAAACTGTTACCACATAGCACATGATTAATTTAAAATATGGTAAAGGAATCATAGGAAATATCACATCTTAAGTGATTATATTAAATATTAACAAAACAAGGAAAATGTTATATTTTTTGCCCAGTTAAATATCACATATTAAGATTGCCAATCAGAATACGACTTATACAATCTTAGCAGTGTCAAACCAATGACGTGTTGACCGGTACGAGCAGCCTAGAATGAAGTCTGAATCCTTATTGGTCCTTCTCTTCCAGCCCTGTCCATTTGAGTTCAGAACACAAATCCCAGCTCCCACTGTATGAATCATATATTTCACACATACTGGGTTTATTTACAAACAAACCAGGCCACATTATACCGTAAAATAGAAAATAACAATTATGGAATATCAAGCTAAAAAGTGGCTGTGAGTGTGAGAGGCTGTAACTAATAAATCAGGAATAATGGAGTGTAGTAGTAGTTATAAAGTCACATAGTAGCTTATAATAAAAGGCATATAAATACACATGTAATATAGATACTTAAGTTATACAATAAGAATATATGTATAATAGTCCACAAATAATTTCCGGCCGTTACCATTCATTTATACTTCGTTAGGATATGACAGAAAAAAAACTAGTTTAGGATTTATTCAATCGAACTTGATTTTTATATGATAAGGAAATTTAAAGCAACTTTCCACGAACGATAATTTAAAGTATTGATGTGTGGGGAAGAATGATAATGATTGGTTGTCTGCTCAGTCAGACATGTAGATAGTCTGACAGGTGTCAGATGAATTATATATTTCCTTATCCTTATTATTACTCATTCACTTATTATTGATAGTTTATTTTTGTTGGATTGTGTCGGGTCTCGGTTTGGAAATATATTTACGTTGTGGTCAGGCTAATCACGTGTTCTTGATCTGAGTTGTGTTGATATCCTGTAGAATAGACACTGGGAGGGAATCTAGTGTAGATATTCAGGTAAATTAACGTCTCATATGTGTAAACGTGTAAACCCAACCGTTATAACATTAAACGAAGTAAAACTGAGCGTTATAGCAAGTATAAACAGTTGTATATACAAAATGTAAAGCAAACTAATTTATTCACTTTTTTAATTACATTTTAATGACAGGAATGATTGACTAGATGAGGTAAGTTTGTGATTTCAACCAGTTTGAACAATAAAACGATAAAGCCAATATGATAAATAAAACGATTTTAAAATTTAAACTTACACATACACAAGAGGGGATTATAAATCACTGGAAAGCAAACAACCATTAATAGTTAAAGCATGAATATATAATATTATATATTACGGATGTGTTTATACATGCAGAACTTACATTATGTTGTGGTACAACGCAAAGGGCAACTAGGGTAGCATTTAAACAAGCTAATAAATTATCGACACTTGATGGAAAAGCAGAATTTTCCACAAATAGATTAGAATCTGGGCGCATTATCCGAAAGGCCAAATGATTTGAATCATTCTTATTAGTATATAATGAATCAATTTTCAATATATCGTGCTGAACATCAGACATAGCAACACAGCTACTGGGTATTACATTTTTTTGTTCATTTACGTTTTCACATGTATCTTGTTGTTTAGATAGAACAGTAACTGGAACTTGGTAAGGGATACAATCCAGCAAATGTGCTACTGGATGTCCAAGAGGTTCATCTTTTAGTCTAGAAGGTAAGCTAGTATATGCACAAGCCAAAGTGGACATAAAATAAGTCAGCATCATTAAATCGCGATGATCAGGGGGGCCAAGATTGTATCGTGGGTCATCTATTGTATTATCCTTGTATCTAAAACAATATGTACAGAAAATGAAAGCTGGAAATAGTTATAACCCGAATATAGTGTATATCAACATAGACATTACTTTTTGCATTAACAATAGTGCACCAGTGATTCATCAAAAAAAACTTATTGTAAGCAACACGTCATATCAATGTAAGAACTTAAAGTAAGAGGAGGAACTGAAAAGGACTATTACCAAAAAATTAAAAGTGAATAGGTTATTGATCTGAAAAAAATTAGTGCATAATCTATAGAGTTTACACGGGTGATATAACTTCAAACAGAATTTTTTCTTACCAAATTTATACAAACAGATTTGTGCTAAAAGCAATAATCTAGCTACATTGATTGTTTCAAACATGGAAACTTTATTTCTCACTCGAGAGTTTATATTAGCTATTTCACCACTGTATTACTGTGATGTGTACTTTAGAAAAATGGAAATTTTTTTTATGACTGACACCGTGAAAATAAACAGTACTATAATCTTGTTGCCGAAAATATGATCAAAAACTGGCTGACTAATCAAGCAAAAGATTTTTGTTACCGATGTTATTTAAAACTGGGAATAATTAATATAAGGGAGATTCGGAAGTTTATAAAATGGTATACGAAAAACATATAGACGAGACTATAATTTATGGACAAACCAATCAGATTTACGATAACGGGTCTTGATTTCGACGCGAAATTCTTTATCCGTTTGGTTAAATAGCATCTTGGCATTTTAGCTGATGTCAGTTCGTGATGAAAACCCTAAATCTAATCTCCATCCTTAACCATCAACTGTAAACCACAATCCTTATCCTTCACACAGGTTTAAAACTTTCATTTAGCTCTAATCAGTAGGTGGACATTCTGAAAGCCACTTCAGTGTCGCTCAAAGGCCGTTCATAAATTATAGTCTCACCAAGATATCTATGGACGTACATGAAATATAATTATTTATCTCTCTTAAAAGAATAAATATGCGTCGTACATTTAAATCATGAATAATACAACATATTTATGGATTATAGGACAACGGACGTTTAGATCGATACATTTCATCTTAGGTTACACTTAAATATCAATTTAAACAACACTTATATCTCTAAAAGCAATAACCGTGTGCTTTGAACAACAAAATAACTATCGTCATTTGATGATCATTTGTAAGTTTTTTCCAGTGGGATTAACTAGATTGAGATTTACAAAAAGTAACATTATTGCCAATATTACTAAACATATTTCCTCAAGAGCAATAAAGATTCTGTAGTCTATTCCTATAAAACTACCAACTTTTTATATAAGTCTTCAGAACTAGTGAATTGAGTAATAACAAGTTGAACAAACTAATAACTAATTTCCTATTCTGATTGTTGCTATGCTTGAAAATGAGCTGTTATGCAGTGAAGCAGGAGAGTTTAGTTAACAACAGACAAACGACCAACAAATTAACTTATGGTAGAAAAGATAGTTAATGATGATATTTAAAACATCATACTAACGAATTGACAAAAATGATTATCCAATGTCTAAGAACGGTTAGTTAGTTATAAGCAACATAGAATCTAGCGTATATGTGGATCATTTCAAGTTGTCATGTAACAGTTATATAAGTAATAACAGTTTTAGTGGTATTAGAAAAGATTAAGCATAGAAAATATGGATTTATGGAGTAGAAATTTCTTCGAGATATTTATGAAACTTAAGATCTAAGGGAACACAAAGAGTGAATGCACCTCCATCATTATGACCAATTGTGAGTCATGTCACTCAATGTTTCTAGTTATTAATGAAGATGGTCGTTCAAACCTCAAACAAATAGTCTGAACTTACTTAAACGTCTCACTCCATCAGTCAATAATTTCATGGACTGATACCACATTTTGGTTTGACACTCTTAGCTTTCTTACAACGTACTCCTGTACCAGCCATCATTGTCCATCGAGATAGGTGGTAGTTAAGCATACGTAATACATGTCTCATTCACTTCAGTCGATAAATATTCAATACTTCACTAATTGGCTTGTGATCCTTACCTAGTAACCGGTGTCTAACCCCAACATTACTTACTCGGTGGTCCCAATACACACGAGCAATCCTTTGAAAGTATCCATGATCAGATACTAATACACTACGGATATCTCCTCTTTTAAAGGCTATATTTTCCAGCCTTAAAGTATGATAGAAGGAACTTCTGTTCAGTGTAGTCGTTCTTTGATTTGGAGGTAGAAGTCTCGCCAACACCACATGTTGACAACGGCTAGTCGTGTTTTCCAATCCCGTGCTGAGATTTTATCAGATATCAACCCACAAGGGCTGATGTGATCTGGAAGTGAAATCGTCGACACGTTCAAATAATTTACTGCCTTTCGTTAGTTTAGGCGTTGGCGAAGATCAGCCCTAAAACAATATCTTAGACAACAAAATTAGAATTAACCAATTTTTATAATTATAGCTGGAGTCCTTGAATAACATCGACAAATGAAGCATCCATGTGATTAATTTACGATTCGCGCTACTTACTTTAATGGTACTTACTAACCAGTTAAAGAACCGTGCACTTAACTTTACGCCATAATCTTAACCTGGTAGTATTCAGATGCCCAGACCATAATAGATGACAAGGTGCCATACTACAACTCAGTGCTTTATGGTCAAACTCTTAGTTTATTGAATAATGGATTCAGTTAGTAACTAATCATATATTGTACTCAAAAGTAACAAGTAGACAATAACCATACAACTTTGCATTTATTAAGTCAATCCTAGGAAAAAAAACTCATATATGAATCTGAGGATCAACATTCAAGTAAATAAAATAACCAAGTGGAGTACTCCTAGAAAATTACACTCAACACAGAGTAATGACTGTAAAAGGTCAAGATGTTTAGCAATAAAAACAACCTGATAAGAAGAACATAGAAGGCGGATGTATATACTGAATACTTTCAATGTCTAAGACTAAAAAACATCACTAGCTATCAGTAGTAAACTAGCTAAAATATTATTATTGACAGTCTATTTAAAATGAAAATTGAATAACGAAGGTATATTTTTGCACATTAATATTAATTAATAAATTTCAAAAAAATATATAATCCACACAATTTATCTATCTGGTCCAAAAATCGTTTGATATCGTTACAAAGATAATTTTTTCAGTGTCATTATAGACCGAAAATTAATCATTTCAGCATATTGATATAAATTTAATCTAATAGTTTAATAACTAATTGTGTATATTTTAAATTATTTTCCAAAATACGTTTGTTCTATCGTAGCGATAAACTAAAAAATATATTACTTTAACCCAATTTAAGTAATCTGGACAGTAATATTACTGATAGGAAACTGACAATTATTTTTAAAAAATTTAACAATGAGAACGAGATCAATCATTGATAAACAATCATTACTTAAAATGAAACACTTTTATACAATGAATGATATGTCACAAATACATTTATTGAAGTTTAACCTAGGTTTTATACATAAACAGATAACCTTAAATACCAATCAATCATTAATAAATATAACATACAATTTGACATTAGATTCTATAAGAATCACATCATGATTAAACGTTTCGTTGGAAATGTCCTGTAGAAAAAAGAAAATAGCTAAGTTAACATTACGAATAACAGGTAATATACTGATAAAATTTAAAATTAAATTATTACTATTATTTAGCAGTGAACAGTAACCTGAAATGATATATTGTAAGACACTACATCACATAGAGGATAGAGAACATTAAGAAGCATAATAGATGAAACCAGTTAGACGCAATAACGATATCGGACCATACTTATTCATTTAACAACACAAATCCGGGTGCAATAGGGCACCAAACAAATAAAATATTTTCGTCAGAATATAAAAGAGAAACAGTAATCAAATCGATAAAGATGTGGTTTCATTAAAAACACATTCAATAAACACTTACATCAGTTAAGGCTCAACGCACTTTTATGAGGAGCATGATAGTAAACTACAGGAAGATTGATATTCACTTCTATTGTGAACCATGTCATATAACACTAAATCACTAAGTCGCACCCATCTCTCTGATCTAAACAAAAAGAGTGACATTTCATAAACTGACTACCCGTTCACCTTTACCACTAAATCCCAGAGTCACTAGATAATGTACGGTATGGAAGTCACTGTCATGACATTCGTGAAACATATTCAAGCAACCGAAGCTGATGTTCCAAGATGATGACACTAATTGAGCTGTCAACAATGCTCGATGAACACACATTACTGGATCACAGCATTAATAAAGCAGTGTTGCTACATGAGGTCAGAAATCGTTTGAAGAAAATGGTAAGCGAATACTGGAGCCCCCCAGACATTCTTAGATCGGGTGAACCAGGTTCCAAAATCATACTACGAAACTGTAAACCCGACATTTCACGACTAGACCAACATCAAGACGCCACCAAAATGACAAAGACTGGGATAACTTCCTTTGGTTTCCACTATATATAAGTTGACCTCACCTGTCTCTCCATCATTAGCAATCACACATTTACTCAAATAAACAAATACTTCAATTATTTTCAGCAGTCCACAGAAAAGAAGTGTAGCTAGACACATGCCTCTACTGATTACACAGTTCGAATACTAGATGCGACGGAACGGAGATGTGAAAATATATTAGTGCGCTGATTTATGATTGAATTTCTATTGTTGTTTAAGAATATGTTGCCGATAAAGAGCTCTTTTTGTTTCCATAGGAGTGTAGTCTACTGTCTTGATGTTTTATTGGAGAAGTAGAAGTTGCGGTTGACCAATCTATAGGGACTTGAGAGTTAATCTATTGGTCGCGGTTTTGAACTCTATTCCATTAATCAGGGTTTGGTAGGAGTATATATCATACCGACTCTAACACAATAAGCATAGTTTGAAGATCCACCTTATTTATATTCATGAATGCTTGGAACGATCGAAGAAACTGGTGAACCCATTGGTATACCTTCTTTTTGTCTGTAAAGGTCTCCTCAAAATATTAATAAGGTGGATCTTGAACGTAATTCCAAGAATTTGGTAACCTCAGACGAATCTAATGGGCATCTTAAATTCAAATCCGATTGTAGCAAATCTATTCATGAATTCCCTAGAAACCAGTGCAATCTCGGTTACAGTACGTAGACGAAATTTTTATTATCATTAAACGGGATGGTTTAGAAGAACTGTTTGAAAATGTAAACAATATTTCAGAGAGCATTAAGCTAACGAAGGAAATAGAATCCGTTGACCACAAACTAGAGTTTCTTGATTGTTAGGTTGAACGAAGATATAATAATAATAAGTTGAAAATAAATGTATTCAGGAAGTCAACACATTCTGAAAGATACTTAGATTTTGGTTCGGCTCATGCGCTGTGTACGAAAGTCACTGTTGTAAAAAATTTATTTAACAGAAGCACCAAGCTCGTTACAGATAAGGAAGACCAACAAGTTGAATCGAATAGTTTTGTCTACACTTAAGGATAATAACTACCCGGAAAAGTTTTTAAAGACTTTTAGAAATGAAAGAAAAATTAAACTAGAATGTATACTGAAAGATTGGAAGTCCACCATGGTCATTCCATACTGTAGTGAAACATCGGGAGAAATCAGGCGGATTCTAAACAAGTGTGATGTAAGAGTGTATTTCAGAGCAACACCATAAGATCGGTATTCGTAAAAGTTAAAGATAAGTTCTCAAAGGAAGAACAACAAAATATTGTTTATGAGATCAACTGTTATGATTGTAATGCAGCTTATGTAAGTGAAACATCCAGACAATTGAATTTAAGGTTGAAGGAATACAAACAGTGTTTGGAAAATTTTCCCAAATCCTCGGTTGACTTATTAAAACTTGTGAATAAGTCTGTGATTTATTTATTTTATTTTAACACATAGATATTGGTACAAGGAGGCACCAAATACATATGCGCCACACAGATCTCATTGGATATGTGTGAGGGCTGTGATACTGCCCGGGTGCCCAAACCGAAGTAGGGGGTTTTCTTAGGGGGCCACACTCCGAGCCTTTGACCTGAAGATCTGATCCACAAGGCAGTGGAGCATCGTGAGGAGATGCAGTCCCATGGTAGCCTGTGACCAACGATTGGTTCATACGCCATATGTTCCCGCAGGATACTGGAGCCCCTGTGACAACCATAGAGGGATTAGTTTAACTAATATAGTATCTAAAATACTAGCCTCGATAATTATCGGACGCCTAACTAAGACTTGTGAGCTGCAAACACGTGAAAATCAGGCTGGCTTCAGACCTGGTCGTGGATGCATCGACCACATATTCACCATTCGTCAGGTTCTAGAACACAGGCATACTTATCGGCGTCCGACAATAGTGGTCTTCATTGATTTAAAAGCAGCGTTTGACTCTGTTGACCGAGAGGTTCTGTGGCAGTGTCTGTCATTGAAAGGCGTACCTCAGAAGTACATAAACCTTGTGAAAGCTCTTTACTCGAACACTACTAGTCGAGTCAGAGCTTATGGCGAACTGTCATCTGCTTTCGCAACCTCAAGTGGCGTCCGCCAAGGCTGTCCACTTTCTCCATTTTTGTTCAACTTCATCATAGATCTACTGATGGAAATAACGCTCTCATCGACTGAATTCTCAGGTATTGATCTCCTACCAGGAGGTCCACTTATTGACTTAGAATACGCAGATGACATAGTCCTGTTTGGTGAGGACGCTGATGAAATGCAGTCTTTTGGTAGCACTGAGCAACAATGCCAGAATGTTTGGGATGCGCTTCTCTCCCTCTAAATGCAAGTTGTTGCTTCAGGACTGGTCTGCGTCAACACCTGAACTAAGGATAGGGAGTGAAGTAGTCGAACGCGTCGACAACTTCACTTATCTTGGAAGTCTGATCAGCCCTAATGGGTTGGTGTCTGACGAAATCTCAGCACGGATTCGAAAAGCTTGCTTGGCCTTTGCCAACTTACGTCATCTATGGCGAAGGCGAGATATTCGTCTATCAATTAAGGGACGAGTATACTGCGCGGCAGTTCGTTCCGTTCTAATATACGGCTGCGAAACTTGGCCTTTAAGAGTAGAAGATATTCGTAAGTTACTAGTATTTGACCATAGATGCCTTAGAAATATTGCTGGTATCTGCTGGGATCACCGGGTAAGTAATAGTGAGGTTAGACGCAGGGTATTAGGAAATGATGGTAAATCAGTTGATGAGGTTATGAACCTTCATCGACTGAGATGGTTGGGCCACGTGCTGCGTATGCCTGAACACCGATTACCACGACGCGCAATGGTAACCGGTGTTAGGGATGACTGGAAGAAAGTTAGGGGCGGCCAAACCAAAACGTGGCATCAGTGCTTGAAGTCACTAACTTCTGGTCTGAGCCATGTTGGTAGATGCAGACTACCTGGTTGGGGTCCGCGTGACTATCGTAACCAATGGTTGGAGACTCTTGGTGACATGGCTCAGAATCGATCACAATGGCGTCGGTGTATACACTCTCCGTCTTCCTTTAAACTAAGAGATTAAAATCACTTCAAATCTTTCTTTCTAGGAACTAATTCTATCTTCCTGTACTATCTCCTTATACACACTCTTTCTTCTATATATTACCACCACTTAATTAACTACTTCTATGAATCCGGTGTTCATCTTGTTGTGCTAATGCGGTATGGCAACTTGGACCGATGCATAGATGTGCCTGGTCCTACGTTGCAACTGACTGACTGACGCGTGGCCATGTGAGAGCATTTCGAGAGGGAGAGCGGACTCTCTCCACTCTCGGCCGTACCAAGGCATTTGGGAGCCTTGCGTTGGAAACAGGACACAAGATTAGTTTCGAAGGGATCAAGATACTTCAGTAAGGCTTAAACACTCATAAAGAAAGAATGATAGCAGAAGCGCTGTATATATGGGCGAATAAGAACAGCCTAAACAGAGAGGATGGTATTCAGCTAACAATTACTTGTCAAATATTCGCTAACAAGTAATTGGATCCATTTCTTTATTCAACCTGTTTACTTCACTTGCATCATTATTTTGACTGAAATTAATGTAAGTTATTTTCGGAAATACAATTATGTATTTGATGATTCGCATTTTTCTTTGCACTTCAATGACTCAAAAACAATTTTTTCAACCTTCTACTTGCATTTTTATTTTTCCTTCATATAAAAATATATTAACACCAAATATCATTCATTAATAACTCAATCTTACACAGGACAGATAACGCAGACCGTCTACTGCAACTGTGCACAGACTACAACCTGTTTCTGGCTAGCAATAACTTTCGGCACAGTCATCGCCAGTGTGCCGCCTGGCGTCCTCCCTCTGTATCTCACGCCTGGACTCAGATTCATCACATCGCCATCAGCTATCGCTGGCGTAGTTGTGTACAAGACTGCCACTCCTTTTGGAGTACCTATCTGGAAACTGACCATGCCCTGGTCTGAGCCAATCTTACCTCACTTTTCAGTGGCCAACGAGGTGATCATCACCGAAGAATTGACGTCAGTAAATTGGTTGCAACTTTTGTTGCAACGAAGTATCGGACCGAGCTAGCTTCTAGGCTAGCTACCATTCCACCGAAAAATATAGATGAGCATTGGTTGCAATTGCATGACGCCATGAAAATGGCGAGTAAAGCTGCTTGCGGCTTTGCGAAACATCCCGCTTATAAGCACTAGGTTTCTTCAGGCTCCTTACAACTCATTGAAGCCCGTCGTCTACTCCGGGTGACCGTGAGTTTGACCACAAACGAAGCATGTTACGCAATGAAATTGGACAAAGCTTGCGTAAGGACCGAGAAGCCTGGTGGTCGAAGCGTGCTAATGAGTTGGGAGCAGCAGCTGCATCTGGTAATTACCGGAAGCTCTTCCAACTCATCCGAGCCACTGGCAGCAAGAAGTCTGGTGTGAGCGAAACAATCTGTGAGGATGACGGGATGCCGATCACCAACGTCCATCGACGTCTAGGACGATGGGCAGAATTCTTCGAAGGGCAGTTCAACTGGCCTGCTGCTCCGGCAAACATCGGTCAGACTTTCCTGCCCTCCATGGTCGGTGACGACTGATCCACCAAATGAGGTGGACTGAGGGCATACAACCGCCTTTCTCCATTGTTCCATTCAAGCAGTGGAGTTAGGCAGGGTTGCCCAATCTCACCATTCCTCTCCAACTTTCCCATCGATGAAATTCTGGAAACAGCTCTGATGGATGTAAGTAATGGTGGTGTGGATCTGTTGCCTGAAGAAAGACTTCTCGACCTTGAGTATGCGGGTGATATTGTCTTACTGTGCGACAATGCCCAAACAATGCAATCCGCACTTAATCAGTTAGCGATTAATGTCCGTAGGCACGGTATGTGCTTTACACTTTCGAAGTGCAAAGTACTTCTACAAGACTGACAGGATTCTAACCATGTACTCACCCTGAATGATGAGCAGATAGAAGTAGTCGAGAAGTTCGTGTATCTGGGTAGCTGCATAAGTGCTGGTGGTGGCGTGAGTGATGAGATCGATTCACGTACAATGAAAGCCAGAGCGGCTTATGCCAATCTGGGCCATCTTTGGCGCCTTCATGATGCTAGTCTGGCTGTAAAGGGTCGGATCTACAACGCATCGATGAGAGCAGTTCTGCTCTATGCTTGTGAAACCTGGCCTCTCCGAGTTGAGGATGTTAGACGACTCTCTGTGTTCGATCATCGTTGTCTCCGAAGGATTGCTGACATCCAGTGGCAACACCATGTTAGTAATGCAGAGGTTCGGCATCGTGTGTTCGGGCACAGAGACGACAATCCAATTGGTGTCACCATCTTGAAAAACCGACTTCGGTGGCTTGGACATGTTCTACGAATGTCGTCCCAGAGAATTCCACGTCGTGCATTATTTGCCGACGCTGGGACTGTTTATAAAACGTGGAAAGGTGGTCAGTGTATGACATGGTGTTATGGTATGAAAGAAAGCTGCAAAGGGCTGGCTTGTATTGGTCCTTCACGACTCCCTGGCTGGGGTCTGAGAGACGGTGTAACACAGTGGCTAGAGACGTTGTCAGATATGGCTCAGAATAGAAGCCGGTGGCGATCTTGCTGTAACCTTCTTTTACTTTCTTCATAAAAATTGATTATATCTTACTTAGCTGAAATTCTTCTGGTTGTACCTTTCCGTTCCTCCCATTATTATTATAACACTACCTCACACTAATTTTTCCTTAAATAACATCTTTAAACACTAATCTTTCCGATTACTGCTTATACTCTTACCACCTCTACCACTACGGGATTTGAATCGATAGCTGCATCTCTGCGCTAATGTGGTATAGCAACTGGAACTGATGTACATACGTACGGAGTTCCACGTTGTTACTGACTGACTGACTGATACTAATCTGTGGTCGCCATTGTTCTTTTCTTTTTTTCTTATACGCATCTTACCTTCTTGTTTCTCCCCCCATTCTGATTGTTTTATGTGGCGCATATATATCTGGTGCCCCCTTGTACCAATATTTATGTGCTCAAATAAATAAATAATAAATAAATTTATTTTCACATATTTCGCATTTAGCTGACTCGTGTTATCTTATTTACTAAAAAATCAACATCCAAATATGACTGGGTCAACACAGTATAGATTCGATCTGATTTGATTGTTAAAACGTCATACACTTCTTTGATTATTTCGATTACCCTGAAGAATTCCAGACAAGTTAGCTGGACGAAACGTCGGAATTATTTAAATTTCAATCGCTGAGATTATTTCAAATATAATTTTCACGTATAATGACATCCCTACATACTATTAAGAAAATGGAACTGACAACTTAATGACAAAGAAGTACATGGAAATCGATAAGACCAATGATTACCTTGAAAAGCCGACAGAAAAAATCGGGTGTCTGTCACATCAGTTGTGAAGCATATATATATATATATATATATATATATATATATATATATATATATATATCGGAGTTGATTGCGGGTATTTAGATGAAATAGATGTCAGTTTATAAGATTAAGGTGACTATCATAGGGCAGAAATCCAGAATCATTTAGTAAACTGAGCTCAAATTATTTAATCACAAATTCAATGTACGAATCATGTGTATCTAATTAAAAGACAACATACCCGTGAATTCCAGGTGTCCATAGTTTTTAGTGAACTGCTATTTAGATCTGGAGAGTTTGTGCGATTATTTGAAGATCCCGTTGGACGAAGCTGAACGATCAGGTCTGGTTTAACTAACAATATTTGTTCTAACAGCAATGTTAATCCAAGCCCTGGGAGTACAACAATAATGATTTTTTTACGTACATAGCACATGAACAAACTTATTTTGAACATTACACCTGACATCACTTTTATTTATTCAATACACTAAACTTATCTGCTTCGGCTTGGGCACCCGGGCAGTATCCCAGCCCTCAAACAAATCAAATGATTTATGTAGCGCATATCTATTTGGTGCCCCCTTGTACCAATGTTTATGTGATTAGATAAATAAATACATTAAACCTGGTACAACTAGCAAGAAAATTGATATGGGTTACACATTTACAGAAATAACAGGGTGAAGGAAATGAAGTCAAAAAGAAATAAGTAGCTTAAGACAGTATATAATGGGAGATACAGCTGAGACAGTAATAAAACCGAGTAACAGCCCTTTCAATTAAGGGAGTTCCTTTCATTCTCTATAAATATATAAAGACTACAGCAGGAGCCCCACTAGTTTTGTTGAGTCATATCATTTAACGTCCTAAATCACTAAACAGCACTATTTCTTCGACCCTAACAAGGGGGTTATGATAGATTGACAGATCCTAATACTATAAAGCTTTCTTTCACTCCACAATGACATGTCATAAAATGGCCACCAGTAGGTCAATTCACCATCATCCTTAAAATGATCCGGGGGCAGATCGTCTGATCCTAGTAACCATGACACGAAACTATACTGCACCTGGGTTTTAAAATGTCTTATCAGCAAAATAAATGATTGAAAAACATTGTATCAGTACAATACTCAGAAGAATTATCTTATTTGTAATATGTTAAAAGCTGGTAGATATGGCTCAAATAGAAATAATTATGGAGAGTAATATAAAATCCCGTTGATCAAAAGAAATCTTCGCATGCATATTTGGGATGATTGTGTGTCCACAATGTTCTAACTTTATCACAAATATGTTACGAAAACTATAAAGAATCCAACTAATTCCGGTGTTTCTCAAAAGTGCTAAAACAATTGATAATTACTCTGTAGAAAGGTATAATTGAGGAGCTTTCAGATTGCTGTCATTTAGTTGGTGGTGATAAACAACGTGAAACCTGGTACATATAGGCATCAGTCCGATTTACTATATCACACTGGCACAGAGATGAAATTATAAACACAAATACAAAGATGATGAAATTTGTAGTGGCAACTAAAGGTTGGAAATAGATGTAATCGGAGAGAGAAAATATGAGATAATACCGAAACTCGGGATTTAAGTGTGGACAAAGAAACGATCCATTTGTATTACGGTCATCGACTTTGAACCACGTCGCTCAAAATCTGCAACCACTGATCACGATTATCGCCCAGTCCTAACCAGATAATCTAGCAAAAAGGTATATACCATTATTCGGCGACTTCACGGACTGATGACAAGTCTTTTATTTATTATTTATTTATTTTAACACAGATATTGGTACAAGGAGACACCAAATACATATGCGCCACACAAATCTCATTTGACATGTATGAGGGCTGTGATACTGCCCGGGTGCCCAAACCGAATGGATGACAAGTCTTAGTTTGTATTGAAATTGAATACCGGAAATGAAACCCTTTCTGAAAACTTTTACGTACTCGAGTGTCAAGGTACTTCGCAAAAACGATATAAATTGAATTCTATGTCGAGACTGGAGCCTCATATAGCGATTAAATAACTTACTGATCTAAATGATTTAATTTCCAGTAGTTAGTAGGGATCAGCAGGGTAAAATCTGGAATAATTATGTCGAAGTTCGTTTTTTGGATTATGAAACATTATAAACTAAGCGGATCTTCTTTGAAACATTGACTGATCCATCGTTTAGCAGACATTTGTACTTTATTTATTATTATTTATTTAAACATAAATATTGGTACAACAGGCACCGAATACATATGCGCCACACAAGTCATATGATCTGTGTGTGGACTGTGATACTTCCTGGGTGTCCAGACCGAAGCAGGTGGTTTTCTTAGTGAGACCACACTTGGAGCCTTTGAACTAAAGATCTGACTCAAAAGGTAGTGGAGCAACGTCAAGAGATGCAGTCCCATGATAGCCAGTGACCAACAATCGGTTCATATGCCATTTGTTTCCTCAGAATCCTGGAGCCCGTGTGCACCACTGGTTTGGAATCAGGGTTTTCTAACTCCTCTAGGTGGATCCTCCATATCCACTAATCCGGTTAAAGCTCCGGACATTCGCTTACCCTCCTCCCCACTTCGTAAACAACATCCCGCCACGAGAAGGCAGTGAGTAGGACTTCCCTGGCAGTGGCTATATACGCGTGGCTATGTGAGAGCATTTTGAGAGGAAGAGCGGACGCTCCCGTCCCTCGGCAGTACCAGGGAATTCGGAAGATTTTGTGTGGTATATCTGGGGTCTTAGGTAATGGATTGTGCCATAAGTGACAGTAAAGTGTTATAAATATAGATAAAAACAGCCTGCAAATGTCAAACGTACCGATTGAAAAGAAAACGGTTTACTTAGATGACGATGGTCAGGCTACGAAGAAACAACAGATTTTCCTAATCAAAATGCACAAGCGAAAAGATTTGCATTTTGTTTCGCGGTGGGTCGTGTAATTATACTTAAAATTTCTGAAGAGTAACTGACATGGTCCAATAAAGTATTTCGGAGAAAAATTTATTTAGACATAGGTATCGCGATACATACGAAAACAAGTTTTTGATTAACGGTGACTGAAAACATACCTTGCATCCAGCCCATTGTATTGACTAGTAAACGCGGCTTTGGTTCAGGTAAATTAACGTAGGCATCATATACAAAGTTGAGGCACTTCAAGTAGAAACTGGGATCATCAGAGGGTGTAATGCAACCGACAAAACACTGACTAGAATATAACAGATAACCAGAGATTTACATGGATTCAGAGAGATGATGAGGATGGATGATTTAGAAACATCAAAACAAAGAACACGGGGGACAGGATATCATAATGCGTAGACTAGGTACAAGACAATCAGAATAATTACTTTCACATACAACGTAAAATATTGTATAAAACAACTAGCAGAGACCAACGATGATAGACAGCAACTACTTGATTTGGAAATCATTATTTATTTTAACACATGGATATCGGTACAAGAAGGCACCAAATACATATGCGCCACACAGATCTCATTGGATATGTGTGAGGGCTGTGATACTGCCCGGGTGTCCAAACCGAAGCAGGTGGTTTTCTTAGGTGGCCACACCCCGAGCCTTTGACCTGAAGATCTGATCCACAAGGCAGTGGAGCATCGTGAGGAGATGCAGTCCCATGGTAGCCTGTGACCAACGATTGGTTCATACGCCATATGTTCCCGCAGGATACTGGAGCCCATGTACACCATTGGTTTGGGATCCGGTTAAAGCGCCAGACATTCGCTTTTCGTCCTCTCATTTTCGTAAACAACATCCCGCCACGAGAAGGCAGTAAGTAGGACTTCCCTGGCAGGGGCTGTATACGCGTGGCCATGTGAGAGCATTTCGAGAGGGAGAGCGGACTCTCTCCACTCTCGGCCGTACCAGGGCATTTGGGAAAATTACTTGAACACCGAACTGAAGTGAACCTAAAGACAAACGATGCAAAGGTTTTTCGGAACTGGAAGCACGATTGTATCGTTCAGGTGATATAATTTTGATCCCAAGCATAAATGATATAAACTGTCTTATTGAGACTTGGTCGGTTGGAACATTATGAAGCGTGGTATCTTTTATTACAACATACCACGGCTTAATTTCAGGGAATCGTATCTTTATGTATTTGGGCATTACAGCATATTACGAAGAGCCAATTATGTTTCACAAATGTATGATAATCCTACCAACTAGATAAAAGCATCAAATAATGACAGACAAAATCAAAACTGTATAGAGGGTCTGTAAATTATTTTTGCCCTCAAATAGAAAGAACCTGTCTTTTCAAAAACAGGAAGTATATGTGTATGACCCCGGAATTAGATGCAAATATAATCTCGGAATGTAAAGTCACCTGATGAAATAAAAACCAAGGTGTGAACGACAATCATTTTATGAAGTGTCAGCTTAGCACTTAACCAGTAAACGTTATCACTTTATAAAGTTTGTGAGAGAAAATTTTCGGATTAACATTTATTTGGTACTGATCTAAATTTATGCCTAAGCAAGTGTGACGCGTTAAAATCACCATTAGTTATGAACTAATTACAAAAAAATTCATCGACGACAGGTGGCTACAAATAAGGGATAATGGGGAATACATTAGTATAAATGCACTTTAGTTTGGCAGCATTCATGTCTTAAGTGTAGATTATCGTGGTTAAAATATCAATAATTGCAGTCTCAGTGTTATATCGAGAACTTACCGAAGAATATTTACATTAGTGGATAAAGTATGGGTATACGGAGGACCAAACAATGGCAGTTTGACTAGACACAAACTTATAATTCCATTCGGAGTAAATTCAGGTTGCCCAATATCACAATCAAGAACTGCAACACACTTTTCTTTAAGACGATATTCCACATCTGTTAGGATAATGTTTGATAAAAAACGCAGTAGAGATGACTTCCCAACACCCTTCGGACCACAAATTAACAATTTTCTTACATAACCATCACGAGGACCAACCACAGGGATGGAGCTGAGTCTCAGTGAAATATTTGAAACTTCTGGTGCAACCTGATATCCAAGGCTTCCATCATGCTCGAGAAAAGTAAATCCAAGTAACTTAGCTAAAGAGGCATTTGGTACAGTGCCTTCTGATGGCAAATGAAATAAAAAACGAAACCGCTTAATCTCAGAAAGTGAGTCCAAGACTCGACTCTGATGAGGACTGAAATGTAAAACGGTCACATGGTCCCGAAAGACACTCATTTCTTTGTCAAGACGTTCCGTCAAAATTTGAACATCACTTGGATCACACAAACTCTCTAGAGCAACTTTGATTTCGGAAGATTGAAGTCCCTGAGCTGCATCTTTATGTACACATTCTGATTTGTCGTGTGGACATTGAGTAATAGATAATGGAGTGTGTGAAGTGGGTGAATAAAGATCAAATGAACTGGAAGGATTTGGTCCTATATTTCCTCCCCATATAGTGATCATTGGTCCACATAAGTGAGTAAATCTCGCTTTACCAAAAACTGCGAGGTGTGTATCACAACCAAGTAAAATGAAGCAAGAACATAAACGTCTACTTGACAAGTATACAATTATCTGAGCTCGTTTGGATTTAAACATGGTGACAAAAAGCTTTTGCTTATTCTGATTACTAGTTGCGTCAGTGTCATCGTGAAGATTCTGAGATCCCTTACGCGGAATCTTCTTGAAAGCAAACATGAGTTGAGATGGATGAAATGTCAAGTACTGTTCAAATTCACCTCATTTTTGTTTACACGACCTTAATTGGTTTCATCCAAGGCGGGCACTCTTCAGTCTTCAGTAATACGGATAGGAGGTCTAACGACCTATATTAATATTTGCAGTTTGCAACACTGTGGAGGTCCAATCTCGTTTTGAATATATCAACGGAACGTGCTGACATTACGTGTTCTGGTAGAAAATTCCAGTAATTTAATAAAATGGTTCAAATTGTTGCAGACAGAATAGAAGATTTCGCTTAACAAGCTTCCGTATCTAGTAGCAGTGGGTCACCAATACCTCCAGGCAGGAACCTAGGTATATTAACGATAAAAGAAATTGGTAAATCATATTAAGATATTATACATAGTCCTTAAGAATAGGTCAAGTTTCCTTCTAAAGTACGACTGAAAAGTCGCTTGGACTAGCTCAGCCGGCAGCGAATTCCAGCATTTGACAACTAATAAGAAGTAGGAGTTGTTTCTACAGTCCGTTCTGCTGTGTCGTGTCTCCAGTTTCTGGGTTTTAACCCCTAGGTTTTTACTGGAGCTAAACTGAAGTAAGTGTTTAAGGGGGTGTCCAGAAGTGTTGAGGATGCTGTAAGCCATTAAGAAGTCACCTCTAAGACGTATGTACGTATGTATGATTGGAGGTGCTCTTCATAAGGCTTGAATTTGAGTCCTCGAACTGATTTCGCGGCTCGCCAATAGATACATTCCGGATTGTCCTTATCCTTTTGGAGTGAGGGAGAAATTGCTATGTTTCTGTACTTTAAATGGAGACGAATTAGACTGTTGAAGATTATGTCAAAAGTTCTTACGTTAAAGTGGCCAGTAATGAGCTTCAATGTTGCCAGTGCAAGAATTGTCACAGTGAGCGTAAGACTTTAAATCGTAGGATACCAGCACTTCTAAATATTTTTCAACTTGGGATACTTCTGGAGAGGAGTTTTATAAGTTGTAACTGTAGTCTGCAACATGTTTCAGATGGACTACTTTACACTTTAAGGTGTTAATGGTAAATTCATTGTCATCTGCCCAACTTTGAAGTCGAATCAGATCTTCCTCTTGGCTGCGTATCTCTGTCCAAAGTTCCACGTAATCAGCAAAAAGTAATAGGTCTGACGACACCTGTTGTAGAATATCGTTTATGTAAATCAAGAAAAGAAGCGGTCCTAGCACTCAACCCCGGAGGACCCCACTAGGACATTCCATAGCCTGAGAGAAAGTGAAGTTAACGCTGACCTTAGATATGAAGTGAGTCAATCAATTAAAGGTGATCTGACACCCAATATTTTGAGCTTATTGATAAAACGTTTATGGTTGGCCCTATTGAAAGCTTTTGAGAAGTCAAGGTAAGTGACTTCAACCTTCCTCTAGAGATCATGAATGGTTGTTCATCTGTCCACCGACGTCAACAGGTTGATTGCATGAGAATGATCTCTCCTGAAACCCTGCTGTTGGGGTGAAAAGAATTTTAAGGATAGTAAATAGTCGTATATGTCGTCCATAAGTTTTTAAGGTGTAGAGAGAAGAGCCACTTGTCGGTAACTTGAATGTTCGCTGCGTCGACCTCCTTTGAAAATTGGTGTGATGTGAGTCAGCTCGCAAGTTTCCGATAATGCGTCTCCATTTAGAGAGTGTAAGAACATAACGCTAAGCGGTGTTACCAGGATTGAAGCTGCTTCCCTCAGTATAGCAGAATGAACCATATCCAAACCAGGATGTTCCGCAGTTTCTGGTACACTTCGGAAAGTCCTGTGCAGTTGCAGATGATGCATTCGTCAATATAGTCAATGTGGGTCGGTTGAAATGTTCGAGAGTACTGTTCAGCCAGAAGGTTAGCGGAGTCACCATCGTTATTGATCGGGCCATTAGAATCTAGCAATCAAGAGACTCCAGTCTTTGCTTGTCGAAGATACGCTGCATAACGTAATAAGCTTTTCGGATTGGACAAGAATTTATCGATAAGCTTTATTTGGTACTGAAGCCTGTCTTCTCTTATTGCCTTTGTGCAAGAGTTCCTTATATGTTTTTATTGCCTGTACTCGCCGTTGTTATCATATCGTTTGTATTCAGCCCAAAAGTGCCTTTTGCGGCTTAGCAAACGAATAGTGAGGATCTTCACTACTGAAAATTTTGTGGAACATTTGAAAAACAGACTGCTTGTAGCACATAAGATCATGTGCAGTAAGAAATCCAAATGAGCATTCATATCGAGTTGAGGGTGAGTTTTTCAATCCACCTGTCGTAGATTGTCCTGTAAAGCTGATACATTCAACCGTTTGAAATTCCGGCATTTGTTGTTGATTGGATGTATTAGCTCAGTTTTGATGTTGAAACCAAAGGCTATGACTGTATGATCGCTTCTCCTTAGGAGGGCCAGGATTGAGAAGTTATCAACTAAGGACTCTTTGTTTGTAAATACTCAGTCTAAGCGCGACGGTGTCTGACGATCTCTCTGGGTTACCGACTTCACATTTTCGAACAACCCCACATCCTCAATGAGGTTAAAGAACCGAGCTTCAGTTGAGTTTTCATCTCAATTACCGGTATATTCCGGCATACGATTGTCGTACTCGTTGTCAGCTGAGAGTTTCCTGTAGATGATTCCAACTAGACACTTCGAGGTGGTAGACAATCTCACTGAGCACTATACGGATTCATCATGATTGACAAACTCTTGGTTGTGTACTTGATGTACCTCCAAACAGTATCGTGAGTACAAGGCTTCTCCACCCCCCAATTCCTTTATTCTGTCGTTGCGAAACAAAGACATGCCATGTATTGCTAGCTCCTGGTCTGAGAAATGAAACTCTAAACGTAGACGAATTGAACTGGGATTTTTAACTTTCTTAGAATGTTCTATCAAGTGACCATTCCTAGACGGAAGGAAAGGACAAGACATTAATACCAAGATCATCATTCAGTAGCCAACATTAGGTCATCCCTTGATCAACGCTAAAATAACGGGAATAAGTTAAGGTATCTCAGCTTGTCTTCATATGATATGCCAGAGAAACATTTTAATCCTTCGTCCCCTCATACTCGAAACAAGGACTCACTGTCCGAATCCCGTGTTCCAAACGCGGTTGGACGAAAGTCGGGTCTGACACCCTAAACTTTCCTTCGTCCAAGCACTTGTAGGGCCAGTGAAATTCCACTCCCCCGTTACAAGCAAATCAAACAGCAGAGGCTTTTGTATTGTGGTTTATACATCTAGTTAGTATATGACGTTGCTATAAAGATAACCAATCGTATAGATTACGAGACACTGGTCAGATTGTAGGGCCAGTGAAATTCTACTAAGCCCTAGCCATTGAATATCGAATAAAATCATCAATCCTCGTCAATGTCAAGGACAACCATCGCGCATCAGTTAATCGTACGCCATGGACTGGCCCATGCGGCAGTGGTCTTACCTTCGCTTGTATCTACTTTAACTAATATATTTCTGTAATAACGTCCTCTGTGTTGTACAGTCTTCATCGCATCTATAGTACCTCGATACGTCAATGGGGTAATCTATGTAAGGTGCAGACCGCGAAGTGTGACTTCGACGTCAGCTAGTTTGTCACACCACTCACGTCTAACTCGAGTAAGCCTCTAATCATTTCGACATAGATCATCCACGCTGGTGATCTACACACTGAAAAGACCCACGAATAACTTATAATACCCTAAAGGCTTTGGCAGCAGCCTTGTGATTTCTAGCTGTTTCGAGGTTGCTGTTTATTATGACTCCTAAATCTTCATAGTTCACTGTTTTAGGTGAAACAACTCCACATATTGATTGGTGATATGAATGATCATATTTATTGAATCGCATCCTCACACTCTTGGTAGAAGTCTGTTCTAGTGACCATAGAATTTTAAGTTTATCTTTTGCAATTAATCGTGATTTTTACAACATCATTCTTAATTATAATTGCACAAATGTTTATATTAATATCCGGTGTCACTCTATATACTATCGCATAAATCTACATGTATTTATTCTAGTGCACCAAAGTTTTTTTTAAATTTTCATTTCATTTTTCTAAATTGTTGGTTTACTTTAGAGGTCGATATTTATTACACAATTACTATTGTTATCATGATTGAACCCTATCACTAGGTGTTCATTTCTGTTCTCTCTTTTTCCTTTCTTAATAAATATTATTTTTAAGATTACGAAGTTTGTAATTAAAATAATAACTTGTATTACACTTAAATTAACTTCTCAGACTCACTTTATCTTCACTATGCATATATGACTCATACATATTGATATCTCGTTAGTTTTTCACTTAATTGAGACTCTCATAGCATCACTCCAAACTATAACTGCACAAACATTTATTCTAGCGTCATATCTTACTGCATTAACAAGTTATTTTTTCCTTAATTATTTTCTATTTTATTTTTGTTACTAATTTGACGATACATACATAGTCGTTTATTGTTGTTCTGTGTTCATAAACACGCTCATAAAACTATTTGCATATCTCACGTCTCATTTATTTCTATTCCCTTATTTTCTTCCTTTCCTTCTTTAAACTCAATTCAATATTCTTCTCAATTACATAGAACCTGATTTATCATTATTATTCCATTATTACTACTCTCTTTTCTCAAATATGGCAAATGTAATGCTAACATTATTGAAACTTGTGTATTATCGCATTTTTGAAGAAACCCTAAATGGTTTCTTCACAACACTTATGTACCCATAAGATGTTTGTGAATAATAATAATAATAACTCGCCCATCCATGCAACCAATAGATCGAGATAAACTTGTGATAGTATTCTATTCGACGTACTATCTATGTGTCTCCAAATCTTTTTGTCATCGGCAAAGAGTAGAACGGATAACTGGTACAGTTGGTAATTCAGTTACATAACAAAAAAAAGGACCGAGAATTGTTGCTTACGGAACCCCACATTTTACAGGTTCCCACGTTGACAGAGCTCCATTTACCTTCACTCGCTGTCTCCT